GTATCTCCTCCTGAGACGACTATTGCTGCACTAATAATATTCACTATATATATTATCACACACACACACACACACACACACACATCCTAACGACGATCTAAGTCGGGAGATGTAACTGTCAACTGTTTCCCCTCGTTTCCCCCAATTACTCGCTTCAGGTGAGGGCGCGCCAACGCCGTAGCTTTGATCGGGCGGGCGCGTGCTAGCGAGCGAGACGCTCTGTCTGCAGTTCACGTGCCGTAACATAATCCCGAACGGAATTACACACAGAGAACAGCGCGAGGCAGATGCCGGCATTAAGGGCACCTTTGCCTGAGTGAAAACAACGCGGTTTCGAATGTCGGCGTGTCATCGTAAGAGAGAATACTTGATTACTTGCCGCAGACAACGACTTCCTGCACTCGAGGACGAAGAGTGCGCCTCTTCTAAATAAACAAGATACGGTTTAAAATACGAGAAGAGATAGGGTTTCATCCGAACGAGGATGTTAGTGTCTATGTTGGGGGGATAATTTAATAATGCTATCCTTTTTGCTGTTATTACTACTGCATGCTATTTTACACTCTAGTAAGTGTTGTTTTACATGCAGTAAAAATGACCTCAGATACTTTTCGACTAGATGCGGTCAAATAGAAAACGCTTCCACGTGCCAAATTGTCCGTCCCCTGGGATTGCACGGCCTTATTCTATGCGCGTAACCATGCGCCTGTCGGATGACTTAATCTTTCACTCGAAATCCAGCAGGATCAACGCGACCGCATTGTGCTGTGCTTGTCATTATCATCTAAAGACCCGCAACAACAACCCACGCTGACCGCCTCAAAGGGCAAAGCCAACAAACAATTCCCTTGCACCGTTGCTCACGGCCTGATCCCCGCGTCTCGGCAGAGTAAGCCTGTCTTTCAAGCGTCTTGGTCGCATCAACCCAACATAAAAAGACCTTCTGTTGCGCGCCGCATTAATTCCGCTAAGCCGCTCAACCTGCAGGGTGTCTTCCCGTGCGGTTTGTCTGCACCGCTGAGACGTGTGTCCGGCATATGGCTGGAGCTCGGCCGGAATAAAGTGACCGGTGGTGCGAGAGAGGCTCGCGGGTTGCTGAACATACGCCCGTGCGATCCCGCCTGCCGTGTCAGCATCGTAATTCAGTCTCTAAGTCTGTAGGAAGAGTGAAAGTAGAGAAGAATTGCTTTGCGAATTCCCGCATGGACGCTCTTTAATGACAGCTGCGATGATATACCAGAGACACGCACATCTCCGCATCTGCTACAGGCAGGGACATGACATTGTATGGAGACATACACCTCTTCGTCCTCTACGGGGCTGCTGTCACGTACGCAGGGACACCCGATGTCAGAAACATCATAAGTAGCTACGACATCATAAGCCTGAAATGTGATAACGTTTGCACCTGAAGTGTCGTGCGCTTCGAATGGCATTTAGGTTTTATGACAGCCATTACTATTTATAGTGCTTCTAACATCGCGTCGGTCACAACGCGGTTATATCGTACAGTTTATGAAACAGTTGTAATTCTATCTATTCTTGTAATTCTATGTTGTAGATCTATTATTATTCACTCCTGATAATATAATATAATATAATATGAAGCTGGGACGTGCCGCCGAGAGCAGAACGCGGGGATGTGATGCTGCGGCAGACCGAAATTCGTTACATATATATATATATATAAAGTCAGCTATACCAAATATTCGTGAATCACTTCACTATATATTCACTTCCGTCGCTGAAGTAAAATGTCGAATGAATGTATTCGCTCTACATCTATACGTGGCATACATGCAGCTCTGCTGCCGCAAACTATAGTCTAGCTAATATATAAACGTCTAAATACTGGTCTAAATAATAAATAACTAATTAAAAAACATACAAGGCACACGTGGGTGCAGCAACGAGGAAACCGTATAACCAGTTAAACTTTCTCGTACAGCGACGTCAGTCGGCTTGATGATGTTCGCACGGATATACATCGAAATAGATCTAATAATTGCGCTTGGTAACGTTTGTTGACAACTTTTGGTATTTCATGCGTAGGTCTTCAGCAATTAATAATCTGTCGATATGGACGACCGAGCTTTACATCGCCTGCAGCAAAGCGAGACAATTTTAGAATCCACTCTACAGGACGTCCAAATCGGATTTTTGTAGATACTCTCTTAATCACACTAAATTGGCTCGAAAAAACGCGTATGCTGAACAGAGAACACGGTGAGCAGAATTGTAGTTTTTGTACCAGCTTGACCGTAAGTGAACCGGCGTACATTTTAAGGAAGGAATTTCTAGGAAGTCAATTAAAACTAGTCACAGACCGCTATATTACCGCATGTCTAACGTACACGTACTTCAATCCCATTCTTGTAATCCTCAGTATATCCGTTCTAATTTTAATCCAATAAACATTAATCCAAATTGATCGTGGAATGATGACTAATTAAATCTTCTAATTATTATTAATGGAGAACTAGACGCGCCGTCTGAAATAGCTATAGTTATTCCCTCAAGTTCGCGTAAACTCAATTCTGGGTAAAATTCGATCTAAAAATAATTATAAACGCTGGAACAAAAATGATTGCGAACGTGTTTATCCTCGACGTACAACAATGCTTCACACACATACTGCCCGCATAACTTGGCAGATCGCCGCATGATTTATTTCTCCTCTTCGAAGATTTTTTATCGCTTACAAGCACTAACCTAACAGAATTAATGAACATCTGAGCGCGACAGCGGCATCTAGCGGCATGTTATGGCTAGCGGCATCTTACACGCACGCATTCAGCCATCGAGTGTGAACAAAAGCGATCAGCTCTGCCTTGTCGCACCGTCTTATAGTCGCTGTCGACGTTGTTGCTGTTGTTTTGACGCAAGAACGATGACGACAACGATGACGATATCCATATCGATCTTTTGAAAATTCGAACTGAACAACTTCCGCAGGATATCCGGCGTGAACGTCGGCTGGGTGCCGACGACTCCATGACAACCATTTTAATTAGCATAACGACGTTATCGGTTTATTTAATTACACGCCCTTGCAATTTCGACTCAGTAATCCTCCTGTTCTCGAAATTAAAAAAATAATACGAAAAATAATACGGGGTCGAGTAGGTATCTGTTTGGATACTCCCTTACGAACCGCATGAGGTATTCGTGCACGTCGGGGACACACACGCGCGCACACACGCGCGCGCGCGCACGCACACGCGCGCGCGCACACACACGCACGCACGCACGCACACACACATACGCACGCACGCACGCACGCACGCACGCACGCACGCACGCACGCACGCACGCACGCACACACACACACACACACACACACACA